CATTGGTATTTAACTTTTTTGTTCCACCTTGGCATGAGGGGGTTCCAGCTGCACACAAGCAGCCGAAATGCGGATCCTTATTTGCAATATGATTTTCATTTCCCATGAAAAACAAAAGGGGCTATATGAAGGGACTGAATAAATATAGTTAAACTTCAGTGTTTTCCTAAGCATTTATATTGGCAGAAAGAAGTTACGCCGCTTTCCGGGGGCCTAGTCTCAGGTGACTCCTCAAGAATTGCAGTCATCTTCCATATGCTTCAAGGCAAGGGGGGCGGTTAGTTGTTTATTTCTTTATTTTGGATACATGTGTTTTATAACCTGTGGTCTGGTTTCTTTGAATATAAATAGTATCTGGGGCAGGACAACTGGGAATGTCAGGAGGACATCCCTGCACTTCAAAATTGTATTTATTTATTGGATTTATATAGCCGCCCATCTCACATAAGTGACTCTGGGTGGCTTACTATAAAATAGATAAAAACAATAAAATACATAATATAAAATTTAAAAACGTAGCAGCCAAGCTTCATCAAATCATCATCAGCAAAGCCACGGGACAGGCTGTCACACTTCTGGGGCCCCAGGCCTGGGGACAAAACCAAGTTTTTAGGGCCTTGTGAAAGGCCAGCAGGGTCAGGGCTAACCTAATCTCAGGTGGAATGATGTTCCACAGGGTGGGCACCATGAGAGAAAGGGCCCTCCTCCTGGGCTGTGCCTGCTGACACTCCTTAGCTGACAGCACCCGGAGCTTGCCCCTCCTGCTGGACTGGCTGGGATGGGTAGAAACAATTGGGGAGAGATGGTCCATAAGTAGCCTGGTCCCAAGCCATGAAAATGGCTTTGTTGTATGCCTCCCAGAGTCACTTGCTGGTGAGATGGGTGGCTATGTAAATTATACAAATAAAATAAAATAAAATTCACCACAATGCCACTAGTCCCTAAGCAGGGGCCCCACATACTTCTAAAAATCACAGGGTAAATGCAAGGAACCCCTACAAAATTTGGATTTGGAAGGCGAAGGTGACATCTGAGAAGGGTTCAGTCCCAACAATGTCTCTCTTCCTTCCACTAAAACTGTTTGCTCCTGCAGTCAAGGCCTTTCCTTTATAAGCAAACTAGGCTAGCAGACTAAGCTACGTATTCTGCCAAAACCAAGGATTTAGCCTCTCAAACAACAGATGGCATTGAGCAAAAGGAGTACTAGGAACAGAAATTCTGCCAATACTTTGGATGAAATCAGAACAGTTTGGTCTTCTCAAAACACAGATGGGATCTTCAGCTGTGCCAAATGGAAGTTGGCATTCAGCCAAGAAAACTGGGTGGAGTTTGTATGTGTGTGTGTGTGTGTGTGTGTGTGTGTGTGTGTGTGTGATTTATTTTTATTTATTGGAATTTCTACGCTGCACCATTCCTGCAGGCTCTGAGTGATGGGCAATCATCAACGCCTTAAAACAATACACAATCATATAAACTCAGAAAC